GAAGATTGATAGATAGATATGAATGGATGGATTGAAAACAGACAGACAGACAGAAAAGAAATATATAGAAAACAGATAGACAGACAGACAGATAGACAGATAGATAGATAGATAGATAGATAGATAGATAGATAGATAGATAGATAGATAGATAGATAGATAGATAGATAGATAGATAGATAGATAGATAGATAGATAGATATAAGATTGATATATAGATAGAAATGGATGGATTGAAAACAGACAGACAGATAGAAAAGAAATATATAGAAAACAGACAGACGGACAGATAGACAGATAGATAGATAGATAGATAGATAGATAGATAGATAGATAGATAGATAGATAGATAGATAGATAGATAGATAGATAGATAGATAGATAGATAGATAGATAGATAGATAGATAGATAGATAGACAGATAGATAGATAGAAATGGATGGATTGAAACAGACAGACAGAAAAGAAAGAAAGATAGATAGATAGAAGATGGACGGACAGACAGACAGACAGACAGACAGACAGACAGACAGACAGACAGACAGACAGACAGACAGACAGATAGACAGATAGATAGATAGATAGATAGATAGATAGATAGATAGATAGATAGATAGATAGATAGATAGATAGATAGATAGATAGATAGATAGATAGATAGATAGATAGATAGATAGATAGATAGATATGGATGGATAGAAAACAGACAGACAGACAGAAAAGATAGATAGATTTAAATGGATGGATTGAAAACAGACAGACAGACAGATAGAAAAGAAATATATAGAAAACAGACAGACAGACAGACAGACAGACAGACAGACAGACAGATAGATAGATAGATAGATAGATAGATAGATAGATAGATAGATAGATAGATAGATAGATAGATAGATAGATAGATAGATAGATAGACAGACAAAAAAAGAAGATCAATTTTGGCACACATCCTTTCCTCCATCCATACATCCATCTATTTATTCAATCATCTATTCACCATCTACCCATTCATCCCTCCATCCGCACAGCCCAAGACAGTGCGTAAAGTCTGGAGGGATATTCAGGAGCAAAACGAGTGCAAAACGAATGCAAATACATCAGGAGCAAAATGATGCTTAGGGATCGAGCATAAACGGCTCAGGAGCTCAGGAAGTGTGTCAGTAAACCGTGATGTGAATCAGCTATAATACAAGAGTTTTCCACATATTGTTTAGAGAGAGCTTGTGTAAACAGTTCAGTTCTAAATCTCTTTATAGGCACAGAGATATTACTACTTAATAGGTATACTACTAATAATTACACATTACTATTATTATTTTATGTGGGTTTACTTAGGGTTTCTTTATTACATTATTAAAAGGATGCAATGAATTCAGTTATTTTGGACTAAGCTACAACTGCCATTTTGTATTTGTTGTCTGTATTTTAGTATTAACACCAGAGGCTGCCGGTATAATGGCGTCGATCAAACCCAAGGGTGCAGTGAATTGTTTAGGGTGCGTGTATAAACTCCTCAGTTACAAACACATCTGCAGAAGCAATAATGTGTACAAGCTACGTCGCCCATGACAGCAAAGAACTCTTTCAGAAGCATGTGTAAAGAGACTTCATATTTCTCAGCGCAGGGATCACTCTACGCAACGTGTGTAAGACACAATACAACTTTTAAATGTTCCAGCAGATGTGTTTGGATGTCTAGGGAGTGTACAAACAAGAAGTGCAGTCATGTCTAGGGAGCGTGTGCAAACTCCAGTCTTGTGAAAGAACTAAATATCTTTTGTTTTGGAGTCACCTTCACAACACACTGCAGTGCATCATCGAAATACCCCCATTACATCTGCCGGCAAGCACGCTAACTACACACACACACACACACGCTTTCAAAGAACACACACCGGCTCTGTTTTCTGAGAAATGTGTCAATAAATAAATATTTCCTTGCAGCATGGAAAAAACTCCGGTGACTCAAAGATGTCATTAATTAAACAAACACACATATAACAAGGTCTGCATTTACAAAGCTGTGCATCATGCTGTTCCTACGGACGGAGCGCGCTTGAGAAGAGACGTTAGAAAAATCAACTCTGCTATCTCGGGAACATCAATTTCAGCTCTGCTTGAAAGGACAATAATAAAATGACCCTTGAGTTCACCTCTAAAGTCATCTTTACTGTATCGCTCGATGCTTCCCCACAAGTTTCCTCTTCATAAGAACTTTATTTAAACCTGGAATTGAATGAAGTTGGCTGAGAGCCGGTAATTTCATCTCTCTCTTTGCGCTCGGCGTATTTGCCTCGCCATCAATAATTCATGTAATCTATACACATAAACAGACAAACAAGTCCCGAATAAAAGCCCAACAAATAGAGCTACAGTGTAAGTGCCAGCTAGATGATGATGGATAATCGTATTTGGTACACAAAAGGCCAAAATGGCCTTTCCCATGATGCTGGAAGTTCATGTGGGGGTGTGTGGGTGGTGGTGGGGGGGTGGATCTGTTTGATTAACATTTAGACAGCTTTCACTACCAACAAATACAACACTCAAATCAAGTAGTTCACACCTCTGCAACAAAGAAAGAGAGAGACTAATGTGATACATAGACATACTAGATGGATAGGCAGACATACATAGAGACAGACAGATGATGGATAGACAGATAGATAGACATAGAGAGAGACAGACAGACAGACAGACAGACAGACATAGAAAGAGACACACAAACAGACAGACAGAAATACAGATAGACAGACAGACAGATAGACAGATAGACGGACAAATACACAGACAGACAGACAGACAGACAGATAGATAGATAGATAGATAGATAGATAGATAGATAGATAGATAGATAGATAGATAGATAGATAGATAGATAGATAGATAGATAGATAGATAGATAGATAGATAGACAGACAGGCGGATGGATGGATGGATGGATGGATGGATGGATGGATGGATGGATGGATGGATGGATGGATGGATGGATGGATGGATGGATGGATGGATGGATGGATGGATGGATGGATAGACAGACAGGCGGATGGATGGATGGATGGATGGATGGATGGATGGATGGATGGATGGATGGATGGATGGATGGATGGATGGATGGATGGATGGATGGATGGATGGATGGATGGATGGATGGATGGATGGATGGATGGATGGATGGATGGATGGATGGATGGATGGATGGATGGATGGATGGATGGATGGATGGATGGATGGATGGATGGATGGATGGATGGATGGATGGATGGATGGATGGATGGATGGATGGATGGATGGATGGATGGATGGATGGATGGATGGATGGATGGATGGATGGATGGATGGATGGATGGATGGATGGATGGATGGATGGATGGATGGATGGATGGATGGATGGATGGATAGATAGATAGATAGATAGATAGATAGATAGATAGATAGATAGATAGATAGATAGATAGATAGATAGATAGATGTATTGTGTTCAGCATTTAACTGGACTCTTTTTCCAGAAGGATCCATAGATGGTGACCGGTGCTTTCACATTAAGCTGTAACCAGTTCACAAAAATCGACCTCCTCCCTCCACACACACACATACACACACACCCACAAAAAAGTCTGCAGAAAAATGATGTTTTGAGTTTTTCCGAAAATACAGTTTATAAAAACAGACTTATTGTATCAAACCTCGCAACACGTACTGATCTTTTTCTCAGGCTGCTTTCCTTTTGCTGGTGCCTTCCGTCTTTCTGGCAGCATGACCTTTTGTGACCTTTACAGTTTTTAATTAGGATCGGCACTTCCTGCTGACATGCACTATGGGGCGCATGGCTGGAGGGAAGGCCTGTGACTATGCAATTAATCTGTCAATCAAGAGCAAAACCATAGCACCAGCCAATCAGGAACCAGGGTTTACAGTATGCCTAGACGGTGATGACCTTAAGAGCTCACGCACCCAGATGCACATACATACTGTATTTAAATAAGTGAATTTAAATACTAAACATGCAGAATTAGCTTAGATTTATCTATCTACATCAAAAATATACACTATGCTCAGGAACAAAAGGTATTACATTTTTTTGTAGACGTAGTACCGTGGTAAAATCATAGTACCTTGTAAACACAAGACTGTAAACCCGGAAGTTGTCAAAACTCAAATAGTTTGAGGTAATCAGTAACATCCATTTTTTTAAGTTAAGAAATGTAACGTTTAAGTAAGCAGAACTTGCAGATTTGTATTTTGTAATCATACATTTTAATTGTTCTTAACTTGAAACATTTGAGTAAGCTAATTCATACACAACTTAAAATTATCATGTAATCTCAACTAAAATATTTGTAATAGTTGAAACTTAGCTAGATTTAACCAGCCAATTCAAAAAATGCTACCTTGCTAATCGTTGACACAATGCTTTGATAGCATGAGCATAGCATACCACTTGCTGATGGAGGACAGCAATTTAACACATTTAACACACACTGTTCTCAAACCAAGCTCATGCTCCACATGATGGTAGACCAACCCCCCCCCCCCCCCAAAAAAAAGCCCAACATAACTAATGTTACTAAACTAGCATAAAAAACCATGAACTACCAAATCTCCCACTTAACATTAATCTGGCACATTATATAACACTTCATTTTAGTATTTACTCTCCCTTTTGAGTGGCATGGCAAAGCATGCTGGGAAATAATAATCCCAGCCCAATTTTAGTGAATTTTTTTTCAACAACTTGCATAAAATGTGCCAGTTTTGTGAACTTAAAAGAAAAAGAAAGTTCTAAATACTCATAAAAGTTAATTTGACGGAACTAATTTGTATAATTTGAGTTGGCCCAACTCAAAACCATTTTTTGAGGATTTACAGATAAATATGAAATGGTTTTGCCACCTGATACCATCACTGTAACATGGTACACATATATAGACTCAATTCATCAGAACTGACATTCATTTATTCCACCCAACAAGCAAATGCGGTTTGATTGACAGGCCACTGACCGGTGCGCGGGTTGATGCTGAAGAAGTTCTGCGGGTTGCCGCTGGAGATACGGAATGACAGGCGGGGCTCGGTTTCCGTGGCGTCAGGATCCTGTGCCTGGATCTGAATGACTGACTGGTCCTTCGGGGAATTTTCCGGAATGGTGGCGTGATACATCGGTTCAGACGTTAGGGGAGCGTTATCATTAACATCCTCAACCTGTTAAGACACCCAGACACACAAAATTACAGAATTATATATATATATATATATATATATATATATTAGGGCTGTCAAACGATCAATCGCGATTTGATAAAAGTTTGTGTTTACATAATATATGTGGTACACTGTGTATAATACATAGTACAGTGTGTATAATTATTTGATATATATATATATATATATAAACACACACACATGCTTATATAGATTTAAGAAATATTTTCATGTATATACTGTATATAGATTTTTAAATAATTTATATTATATATAAATATAAATAGTTTATATATAAATAATATTTTTTTTCTTAAATATACATGCATGTGTGTGAATATATATATATATATATATATATTTACACACAAAATAATTATACACAGTGCACCAACATAAATTATACACAAATTTTTATTTTGGATGCGATTAATCGTGATTAATCGTTTGACAGCCCTATATATTACACATCTTTCATACAAGACCACACGATATCTCAAATACGACACTAACTTACTTGTATGTACACTTGTAGAGCCGCTGACTGTGGTACCACCCCCAAATCAGTGGCATAAACAGTCAACCAATAGGAGTCCTGCGTCTCTCGGTCCAACAGATCTGTGGTGTAGATGACACCTGCAAAATAAAGTGCATGAAAACATCACCATCTGAACATTTTAATTCCAGTGAAACAGTGGCAGACTTATTCATTTAGTTTCTCATTTAATGTGTGCTTCACTGAGAAAAAAATCATTAACTTTTGATAGCAATGATAATTACTGTCAAAAAAAAGCAATTACTGAGTAGAAACATTAAAGCGGAGGTTTGCAAATTGTTGTAATGATAAAATACTGTCTCACATCCCAGATTAATACACAGAGCAGGTTATTTATCAGGTTATTTCCTTGAAAAGGGTGTGATGGTATCAAAACATTGCTGTTTGAGTGTCCCAGGGCGGGGGCGGGGTTTAGGGCGGGGCTAACCGTCTGCCTGGCCCATGCAAACCTGTTTGAAAATGGTCCTCATTTATTACAGTAGTTATGTGGCACCTTTAAAAAGAGCTGTTTCTGTGTGTGTATGTGATACAGCAGCTCACAGGTTGTGGTAAATTTAGATCAAAAAGGAGGTCGCTTCCATAAGTCATGTAGCCGAAACGCAGCAGAAGAAAACACAACCCTCGGGCTAAAGACAAAATAAAACCTGGGCCTCTAACCTCAATAACAGGCCTGACATTTTCAAACGCTCCATGTAACCGTATAAACTGAGGCCTTCAGTCTCGGGTACGAAAATGTGATCATGTCCATGGATAAAATAATAATAATAATAAAAAAAAAAAACAGAACAAAACAAAACAAAACAAAAAAGAAAAGCAGTTCGTCTGGGGCACAGATTATTTGCCACAAAAAGCAGGACTTTGCTCATATATATATACTGTATATATATATATAGTATACACACAGACAAACACACAATGTCTATGTACTGTTATTTTGGCAGAAGCTATGGTACATTTCTGCAAGAGAACTATAGAATCAGACTTCTAGAACCAGGTAAATTAATCAGATCAGGTTTCGCTGTACTGAAAAACAGTCTGAGCTTTTGTGTGTAATTGTGTGTGTGTGACATCAATAATTCAGTCTGTTAGCCTGTAGGATTCATAAAATCCTTTAGTTCATTGTGCTAGAGGGAGAGTGTATGTAATGTATTCGGAATACCAGCAGAACTGCCTGAAGAATCTCAAAATGGAAGAAAACTATGAGAAAAAGAGAGAGAAACCGAGAGGAGAGAGAGAGAGGGGGTGGGATATACAGAGAGTGTAGTCTATTCTCTGAGGTAATAAAAACTCACTTTAGCCAATCAGAGACACAGATTGGAAGTCCAGCCCTGACAAACCAGACTCATCTCACACCATTTACCGCGAACCAGTGCGGCTCATTCAACCAGATTACACACACTCTGAACAGCCTGAAACACAACCTCACATTCATCGAAAACGGGTCATTCCATACACATTTATTGCTTTATTTAAAGCTAATTATAATTCCTATAGGTGAACCAAACCTCAAAGCATACAAGTTATATATATACACACACACACACACGCACGCACACACACACACACAAACAGTATAATCTCGATTATGTCACCTGATGGCTCCTTGACTTTTGGCTTGCTAAGTTGGGGACACTTAATATTCAACAATAACATTGATCTGCCTGTATTGACACAATCACATGATAACTGAACTGAGCTGGGCAATGACATCACTGTTTTCTCCAGAGTGGTTGTATAATTGATCATTTGTTACATATATAGCGCTTTTTCTCTGCACTCAAAAAAGGGGGAATCTCCTCAACCACCACCAATGTCACTGTGCAGCACCACCTGGATGATAGGACAGCAGCCATATTGCGCCAGAACGCCCACCACACACCAGCTTACTAGTGGAGCGGAGACAGTGTGATCCAGCCAATCAGTAGATGGGGGTAGAGGCCACTGGGCAAATTTGGGATTTTTAACGACCACAGAGAGTCAGGACCTAATCTGAAGGACGGTGCTCTGACTTTTGTGTCTCCGGGGCGTTGGGACCCACACAGACCACAGGGTGAGCGCCACCTGCTGGCCTCACTAACACCTCCTCCAGCAGAAACCTAGTTTACCCAGGAGTCTCTTATCCAGGTACTCACCAGACTCAACCCTGCTTAGCTTCAGTGGGACACCAGTCTTGGGCTACATGGCAATATATGGTTGCTGGCTAAATTAATAACTTTTTTACAACAGACATTAACCACCACTGAACTTCCTTGAAGGAGTAGTTCACTTAAAAATAACATCAAAAAAAAAAAAAAAAAAAACTTCTGCTGATAATTGACTCACCCCCATGTCATCCAAAATATCCATGTCATTCTTTCTTCAGTTGAAAAGAAATTAAGGTTTTTGATGAAAACATTCCAGGATTTTTCTCCGTATAATGGACTTCAATGGGAACCAAACGGTTCAAGGTCCAAAAGACAGTTTCAGTGCAAACTAAAAACTGTTCGAAGGGTTTTAAACGATTCCAGACGGTGAATAAGGGTCTTATCAAACAAAATGATCGCTTATTAAAAAAACAAAAACAAAAAAAAACAACAAGTTTGTTTTATAAGCTCAAATGCTCACCTTGCTCTGTTCTGTGAATGAACGAATCTTTTCCAGAGTCAACTTTTTCGTTCGTTGAATGAACCAAATGACACGAAAAAAAGATTCGTTCATTTTGATGAACGAGTGAGAGTCAGGAACGCGCATCACAGAACGGAGCAAGGCAAGCATTTGAGCTTATAAATCTTAAACTTGTTATTTATTTATTAAATGAGCGATCATTTCGCTTGATAAGACCCTTATTCATCGTCTGTTATCGTTTAAAGCCCTTTGAACAGTTTGCAGTTTGCACTAAAACTGTCTTTTGGACCATGAACCGTTTGGTTCCCATTGAAGTCCATTATATGGAGAAAAATGCTGGAATGTTTTCATAAAAAACCTTCTTTTCGACAGAAGAAAGAAAGACATGAACATCTTGGATGACATGGGGGTGAGTAAATTATCAGCAAAAGTTTAAAAGTGAACTACTTATTTAAGCTGTACTATAACACTATTTTCTTGAAACAAACTTTGTTGCATTATTATCCTGTTATGTAAAGCTGCTTTAAAACAATATGTATTGTAAAAAGCCCTACTGTATATAAATAGGTGACTTGACTCTACATTTGCATCTGAATATTATATTCTTCTAAAGACATCAATTGTATATAATATTTAATATACATTTGTATATTACATAATACACACACACACAGTCCTGGTTGGAAGCTGATAATTCTGCCAGAGCTGAGTGAGCAGATAGGAAAGAGAGTGAGAGAAAGCGAGTGCAAATAAACGAGTGCAAATGGGGAGATCATTTCTCTTTTCGTCGGATGTCGTGTTTGCGCCGTCTGACCTAGATAAGAACGATATGACTTAACAGAGATGGGACCAAGTCACACATGTGCAAGTCTCAAGTAAGTCTCAAGTCTTAACCGTCAAGTCTCAAGTAAGTCCCAAGTATTTTTTTGGGGGGCAAGTCAAGTCAAGTCAAGTCACAGGCTATGTCAAGTCAAGTCAAGTCAAGTCTTGTAGTAGGTCAAGTCAAGTGCAAGTCAAGTCACCTTATTATTGTAATTTTACATGCAGAATCTGATCTTAATAAAGTGAAAAGACAAGATAAGTATTTGCCAGTAAATTACAATAATTTGGATTTGCATTGTAAATACTCATGTTCAGTAAAATACATCATGGAATCAAACAAAATTGTAACTTAATACAATTATTTATTTTTCACTTCTGCCAATAGTGTGTTTGAAATGTTTTAAATTTTCAGCAATTTGAAATGTTTTAAATGTTTTAAATGTATCAGCAATGGCGGGGTAACATCACTTATGTTGATGTTCAAACAAAACAGAGAGCTAGCTGGCTACTCCCTCCCATGCAATTGAAACTCTTCTAAACGTGCATCTATGGGCATCAGTTTGGTTTGAAATGGACAGAGGCGCATTCGGAAGTGCATTTGGGTACAATGACGCATTAATTTACTAGCTTACTAATTTAAAGAAATAAAAATGTATACAAAAATTAGATGATGTCCTGACTTGTTTTATGAAAAAAGCCTTAAGTTTTCAAAAAGCATTAGACATTACTCACTTACTCCCAGTAATTACACCCAGTCAAGTTTGATAAAAATAAATTTTTAGTTTATTTTTATTATTTAAAATGCATTTAAGAAAATATATTAATATAAACCTGATTTATTGTTGACTGGTGTGTGTTTAAAATTTGTGTTCAGAATAAAATGGAACTGTTCAAGCAAGTTGTAGAAATCCTCCCTCCGGAACGTTATTGGTTGCTACAAAGACAAAGTGCAGTAACTAACTACACAAACAAAGAAACAGAGAGAAAAAGGTCTTTAAAGTTTTTATACCAGCCAGTAAAACATGTTATGGGTAGATTATGTGGTAATGCATCTCCGAAATGGGACATAATTTAACCCAGATATTTTTTCACAAGACAGAACACATGTCATAAAGCCCATTACAAGTCTTAACTCATTTTTGACCAAATGTGTAGTTACTGCGCTTTGCCTTTGTAGGGCAGTATTGCTAGGGGTTCCTACAGGAAAACTGAACTCCCTGAGCTTCTTCCTGTATTCGCGAAGTTGACTGTGTGTATAAAATATCTTCTTATTAAACTGTATGGACACTGACAAAGTTCTCAATGCTTCGTTTTGAATGTAGGGACACTTATTATGTTAGTGTGGGGCTATTTTGAGCCTTGTGGTAATAACAAGCTATTTTTATTTGTCATTACTCTATGCCCTAACTTATATACTAGCGTTATAGGCTAAACTGTTTTTATAGATAAAACTATTTACATTCGGCAATCATGAAAACAAATCTCAGATAATGGTTGACTAGGAAATGTGTAATTTTGCGCCGGAGTTCTCCTTTAACTTACATTAGCTAGCTAACTACGAACGAGCTAACCAGATAACATTAACAAATTGACAAGCACTTACTGGGCAGAATGGCTCTTCAAATGACGGACGAAATTGGAGGTTGTCGTCTGG